GGGCCGCAAGGGCGGAGGCCGAGTTCCCGGCTGCCCCGAATTCCGGGGGGCCTCACTGGGCCCGCTGCAGAGCGGACCTAAAAAAGTACATTTTAAAAAAAATTTTATTTTATATTGGACTACAGTTGATTTACAATGTTGTGTTAGTTTCAGGCATACAGCAAAGTGATTCAGTTATACATATACATATATCTATTCTTTTTCAAATTCTTTTCCCATTTAGGTTATTACAGAATACTGAGTTCCCTGTGCCATAGAGTAGGCTCTTGATTGTTAACTATCTTAAATATAGTAGTGTGTATTCACTCCCAAACTCCCAATTTATCCCTCCTCCCCACCTTTCCCTTTTAGTAACCATAAGTTTGTTTTTTCTAAGTCTGTGAGTTTGCTTCTGTTTTGTAAATAAGTTCATTTATATCATTTTTTTTATTCCACATACAAGCAATATCATATAATATTTGTCTTTCTCTGTCTGACTTACTTCACTTAGTATGATAATCTCCAGGTCCATCCATACTGCTGCAAATGACATTATTTCATTATTTTTAATGGGTTAGTAATATTCCATTGTGTATATGTCCCACATCTTCTTTATCCATTCATCTGTCAATGGACATTTAGGTTGCTTCCATGTTTTGGCTATTGTAAACAGCACTGCAATGAATATTGGGGTGCATATATCCTTTTGAACCATAGTTTTCTCTGGATATATGCCCAGGAGTGGGATTGTTAGATCATATGGTAGCTCTATTTTTAGCTTTTTAAGTAACCTCCCTACTGTTCTCCATAGTAGCTCTACTAATTTACATTCCCACAACAGTGTAAGAGGGTTCCCTTTTCTCCACACCCTCTCCAGCACTTATTGTTTGTAGACTTTTTGATGATGGCCATTCTGACTGGCGTGAAGTGGTATCTCATTGTAGTTTTGATTTGCATTTCTCTAATAATTAGCGATGTTGAGCATCTTTTCATGTGCCTCTTGGCCATCTGTATGTCTTCTTTGGAGTAATGTCTGTTTAGATTTTTTAAAAATCCATATTTAATGGCACCCTGAGTGCAATTTATTTAATACTGTCCTCATATTTATTTTTAAATATAAAATTACTTTTTAGTGTTAATTATATTAATAATATTGTACATTAAATCTCTAGTACTTATTTGTCTTATAACTGGCACCTTGATCTTGGGCTTCTCAACCTCCAGAACTGCAAGAAACACATTTCTGTTGTTTATTAAAGTCACCCAATCCATGGTATGGCTGCTTCATTTTGCAGGAAGAAACCTGAATATCAGTAATGTTTGTTAATTTATACCACCAGAGTGCTAGAACTAACAAGAGAAATATTCTAGAGTTAAAAAACATTATTGCTGCACTGGCTTTCTGCTGAAAGTTGTTTCTTTGAAAATGTTTTGTGAATTTCTTGAACGTCACAGAATTTAATTATTAAATTCCTTATGTTTACATGAAAAGATATTAAGATAATAACACTATTATTAAGATATAGTCTTATTGTATTTGAACATATAATTGGTCCTGCAAAGTTTCTAAGTGTGTAAGTACATAGGATGATGCACCAGGAACAGTGGTAAATGTAAAATTTGTACACCAAAGGAGGTTAGGGTTGACAATTGATGTGTGTTTGCATAGTACTTTATATAAGATTGAGAAAAAAATGGGAAGATACAATGAAAACTTAGGTTCACACAAAAACCTACACACCCACATACAAATGTTATAGTAGCTTTATTCATAGTAGCCAAAAACTATAAACAACTTGAATGCCCTTCAATGTATGAATGGTTAAACAAACTGCAGTGCTTCCATACTGTGGAATACTACACAGCAATAAAATAAGAATGAATTATTGTGTGTGTGTGACACACACAACTTGGATTGATCTCAAGGGAATTATGCTGAGTGAAGAAGCCAACCTCCAAAGTTTACATATCGTATGATTCCATTTATATACCATTCTTGAAATGACAAAATTATACAGATGGAGAACAGATTAATGTTTGCCAGGGGTTAAAGACTGGGAACAGGGGTAGGGATGGAGCCAGATGGCCATGGGTAGCGTGAGGGGTCCTTGTGATCAAACTATTCTGCATTTTGACTGTGGTGGTGGCCCACAAATCCATACATGAGATAAAAAACAATATGGAACTAAATACACACACACATGGAAATAACTGCATGTTTTAAAAGCATAAAATGTCAAAAGGTTAATAGATTGTCTCAATGTCAACTTCCTGGTTGTGATATTGTACTATAGCTAAGCAAGATGTTACCTTTGCCAGAAACTGGATAAAGGATACACAGGATCTCTTTGTATTACATTTTACAACTCTGTGTGAGTCTATGATTATCTGAAAATAAAAACGTTATTTTTAAGTGGTAAGAAATTTCAGAAAAAAGAATGTTATCTCCACTTGACGGAGTCAAGGAAGGCTTCATGGAGGAGGCATCGTTTGAATTAGACTGTAGATCTTCATGTAATCCAGTAACTCTATGGTTAATAAGGTTTATCATTTTTAAAAGTTGAAATGAAAAATTAGAATAACAGAGAACAACTTGACAATCTCTTTTGGAATGATCCTAATAAAACTTCTTTTGTAGAATTAAAATTAAACAAGAAGTCAGTGCATTCTGTTGACCTACTCATCTCTTCATTTTGAAAATACTTATTCAAGCTATTGTGATCAAGTAGCAATTGTATAAAATAAGACTGTAGTTACAGCAACAGTTATAATAACACTGTTTCTTGAGCACCTACTATGTTCCAAGAACTTTGCTAAGCACTTTGAAATATCTCATTTTAATCTCTACAACGGCGTTTGAGGTAAATATTATTATCCCTGTTTTATAAGTGAGCATACTGAGGCTTAGTGTGTATAAATAACTGGATTAAGTCACACAATGTAAAATCTGGGATTACTTCTTAACACATTATTAACTGGGGGATTTTTGCAGAAACTAACGCCTGTGGCCGTAATATGTCTCCGGTCAAAAATGTGTTAAATCAATGTGTAAATAATAACAAAGCTATATTTTCTGCATAATACAAAAATAAAAGGTCAGTTCAACAGCACTTATTGAAAGACTATTATATACAGAGCACTTTATTAGGTACTGTGGGAAGAGAGATAAAAGATGTCGCTGAGAAATGGCCTGCCCTCTTGCACAGTTAATAAGTATTATTTCAGTCATGACTTCTTAACTTTTTCCAACGAGATGGTTAAAACAGACATGTCCAGGAATGCTGAAACCCTTTATAAGTTATCTTTCAAAGAAAGTTATTTTAAAAATATGATACTGTATTATCTATTTCTCTGTGCACATAAAATTTGAACTATTGCTCATATTTTCACTGTGGCCTAACCTCTATTTCTCAAATCTTTTGTAAAAAAAAATATCAGAAATATTTCTCTGAGAAATGTGATGCCATTGTGAAATTAAACTTGTAAAATTTCTCCTTAATTTAAATCTCTTCAAGTTTGTTTGCCAAAGAAATTCCTCATTATCACATTACAAAATTTATTTTAATTTGGAAAGTCACGTCCAGAAATCTGGAATATACTACTCATGGTGTCAATTTATATGGATTCATCTTTAAATGCCTTCGCAAAGATGAATTGTATTCTTTCGGTTTTACTACAGTTTTCATTATTACTTGCACATCCCAAGGGCTTGCTTCCCTGTATCTACCTGTGTGCTACCTAGAGGCCCAACTGCAAAACATACTCAAACAAGAGGAACCAATTTTTAACAGAACACTGAGAGAAATTAAGTTTGAAATGTACTTAAGTCTTTGTTTAAAATTCAACATTTTCCTCAATGTTTTTCAAAAGAGTTCATTAAATGAAATATGTTTTTGCAAAATATTTAATGCTGTCAATTCATATCAGATTTCCTACCTTATTTTAGCCAAGTCCCTAAATTTTATCAGTTCATATACCAGCGTTATTTAGGTTGATAAAAATCAATCTTTTTCTACTAATGTTTCTTTCAAAGTGGTTACGGTACAATACAGAACTCACACGAGTAGCTATACACAATGAGGAAAGGGTAATGGAAAGATTCCGTGAAATCTCACCACCAACAGGCCTGTACGCCATGGCACCGATCCTAACTTCACAGTGCCTAGATCACTTGAATGTTGTGTATCTAACAACTCAGTAATAATTTACCAAAGCTGAAATTATGAAGGTGGTTGATATTAGGCTTTTTCTCATCAACTTTATATCTAGGCAGTGAGCAATTCAGTGTCATGCTAGAGGTAGCAGGAGGCAGCTTTCACGATGATGTCTTCCCCCTGAGCCCAGAAGAGTCTAAGAGGCCCATGGTCCAAGCACTGACTGGAAATGTGGAGGAGGGGGAGGAAGTGGTAAGAAGGGGAATCTGCAGTCATTTCAAAATAGAGGTCTGACCTCTAGCTTCATTTGCACAACTACAGCTACACACTAACACCTGGACCTTATTCCCCTTCAAGGCCTTGCAGTTTGGAAAAGCTTTAAATACAAATACACAAGCACTTGGTGATAATTCCATTTCATTCAGTAGTTTGTACTGATTCTGTTTTTATTTCCTCCTATCCAACCATACAAAAATCTTACCACATAAGGTATGCTGGTTGTTCTTAAGTGAATTTTCATTCTAGCCCCAGACTTTAAAAGAATTTGCAATAAATTGATTGGTGACATTTTCCCCATCTTCCCCTTCCTCTTGGATTATTATATTATAATATCAAGCAAATTGATGATATTTATTTTTTATTATTATATATTGACATTCTCAGTAGTGCAATGTTAAATAAATATTATTTGCTTTAACTTAGAATAAGTACATTATATAGTTTGTATAATTATTATAGGCCACAAGAAAACAGAATCTTCCCCACACTTATCTCTTGTTTGCTGGAAATGAAAATAAAGTTGTATTTCAGTTTCTCTTTGTTCCCTTAACTTTAGTTCCCATTCTTTTGCCGTCATGAAGTGTTTGGTATTCCGCTGTCTGTGTGCTTGAGCTTTCATAATGATTAAGATCACTTTCCTCATTTCATTAAGAAAAAAATCACCTAATACTTTCCTGTACATAAAAATGTAGCTCTTTCCTTTTCATACTTCCTTTTACTCTTTGTCCTGCACCTTGAAAGTGGAAATTTACCGAGATGAGAGAAACTGGGGAAATGAAGGAGGGGATCGCTTCAGATTGTATGTATGCATGAGAAATTTATGTCAACAAGCCAAAATTTGATGATAGAAAACAAGTGACTGCAAGTTGGGACAGAATCCATCTGGCAGAAGCAGGATGCTAAGTGAAGCAGAGCTAGGAAGGAAATAGCAGATAGTTTAGTTCGATCGGTCACATCCAGGTGATCTGCATGACTTCTGCAATTCTATATCTCTAAGAACGGCCTCTACACAAAAATGTGTTCCATTCTTCTAGGTTGTTCTCTCTCAGACACCAGTTTTGGAAGTGATCCAGTCCCGGAAGGCAGTCACTCTAGCATAAACACCGGGTTTATTGGGATGCCCACATTCGTCTCCCCAGCTCACTATTCCAGCGAGGTACCACATATCTCTAGCATCTGGACTAACCAGTGGTCCTCCGGAGTCACCCTAAAGGAGAAGGGAGAGATTGGTAATTAGTATTTCAGTTTTTCACAGAGAAATGTGCTGTTTCTCTAACATGAGTTTAATGAAAGGGGCGGTTTTCAAAAATCTTCAGTGTGCTCAAATGAGAAGCAATGCTTTTTATCTATGCCAGTAATTCACATAAAGGAGGCACTCCCCTACCTGGAGAACAGCTTAGACTCAGGGTTCAGTACAGAGAGATTAAAGACTCCACCTCTTGGCAGGACAGTACTAGTCTGATACATCTGACAAAATAACTGCCCATACTCTTTATCAGTTTGACACAGCTCCCAAAAGAAGGGTGAAGAATTTATTACTGATAAAGAATACGGACATTAGGGTCAGACACCTGAGTTTAAATCTCAAGTCTGGCCCTTTGAAGCTGGCTAAGACCTTTAATTTGCTTATTTGTAACGCTCCTAATAATACCTACCTTCAATGATAATTTTGAAGATTATGCAAGACAGTGTATGCAATGTGCTCAGCATAGAGCCTGGCACAAAACAGAACCTAGTAAATATTATATATAACCACAAATTCCAATTGTTTGTGCTTTGTGAAAAACAGCCAGTGGGCTGTTTCTTTATACAGGTCATAAAAACAAGGTGCCGACTGATCTTCCCGAAAAATCCTGGGGTCTCTAGTTACTGACCACCCATTAAGTGTTCGGCACTATATGAAACTATTAATTTATTATTTCATTAACCCATGTAATTCTGGCAACAAAATATGGAGTTAGGTTTCATTTTCTCCATTTTAGCAGTGAAGAAACTGAAGCCAACAGAAGTTAAGCAATTTTCCTTATATCACATGCTATTCAATATCCAGAGTGATCTAACTCAGAAGCCTATGCTTTCTTTCCCCTTACATTATACTAACTTCCTTGTGAATTTTCTTTTGTCCACATAAAAATTTTAACTAATAGTAATAATAACTCAATTAGAAATAATGTGTTTGTAATTTTTTAATCAATTAACCAATAAGTATTTACTTATACTCTCATATGTGGTAGGAGATGTAAAAAGAGTATAAACATATGAACCCTCCTCTCAAGCAGTGTACAATCTGCTTATAGAAATAAAATGTATTATATGAAGCTATTTGATAACAAATCATTTTGATAATTGAAACCCAGGCATATGTGAAGACATAGCAGATTAGGAAAAAGAAATAGAAGATGCCAGAGACAACAAAGCTTAAATTTGTTTAAGAGACAGGAGTGAATGAGTCTGAGAATACGGTAATTAAGGAAAAAAAGAAAGCAGTGAGTCTAACAGCATTACAAGCTGAAAACTAAGTTAATGCCAGCAAGTATCAAATAGAGAAAGATATAGTGGGTTCTGTTAACATTAGTTAGCTCACATGCGATTGGTGAATAGGGGAGTTATATCAGGATAAGGTGGAAGTTTTCATGGCTTATATGTGTTTTTGTCTTAGGCAGTGGAGCCAGAATAATGGGAGTAGAATTGCAATCTTCAGAAGAAAAGGCCTCAGCTCAGCTATTGCACAGTCGGAAGCCTTTGAGGCTCTATTTTAAGAAAATGTTAAGAGTGTCTGTGCCGAGGAAGCCCTCTCCCTGCCCAGAGTGGCACAGCCCAGGCTTGCTTAATTCTTGGGTCCTGGCAGGTCGGAGTTCCTCCTCTGCCCAGAGCTATACTCCCATGTGCATTGTCTCAGCCTCAGCAAGTCAGTATTTCTACTCTATTGTTTCTGTGCATTTTTAACTTCCCTTAAGTCAGCCACCAGCCACCCTGGGCATTCTGTCTACCTACATTGTCTAAGTTATTTTTCAAGGTGCAATTATTTTTGTTGTTGTCGATGTTGTTAATTCTCTGGTTACAAAGTTGCATAGCCTTTGAGGGGTCTGTTGGTCTGTATCTAACCCTATTTTTACCATAAATTCAGTTATTTTTAGTGAGTGGTTTAGTGAGAAACATAACAGGAAGTTTATTCAAGAATATGTGTATGGGACTTCCCTGGTGGCACAGTGAATCTGCCTGGCAATGCAGGGGACACAGGTTCCATCCCAGGCCTGGGAAAGTCCCATACGCGGCGGAGCAACTAAGCCCATGCACCACAACTACTGAGCCTGCGCTCTAGGACCCGCAAGCCACAACTACTGAGCCTGCACGCCTAGAGCCCGAGCTCTGCAACAAGAGAAGCCACCACAATGAGAAGCTCGTGAACCACAACGAAGAGTAGCCCGTGCTCGCTGCAACTAGAGAAAGCCAGCTTGCCACAAGGAAGACCCAACACAGCCAAAGAAAAAATAAAAGAATATGTGTATGTATAACTGATATAACTGATTCACTGTGCTGTACAGCAGAAACTAACACAACATTGTAAATCAACTATACTCCAATAAAAAAATTTTAAAAAAAGAATATATATATATATATATATATATATATATATATATCACAACAGAAACTTTTAAAACTAGAAGAAGCCAAACTAGAAACCAATGTTAGTGATCAAGATATGAAGTAATGAAGGAATAGAGTAGGGTCTTAAAAGAAAGAATAAAGACAAAGAGATAAATTTGGAAGGAATAGTAAAGAGGAAAAATATTTCATGACTTAATTGATTACATGTGAAGGAGATTTAAGAGTAAAAGAAAATTCCAAGAATAATGAAAGCCAGCCACATAAATGAGAAACTTGAAATGAAAAAACAGGTAACATTTCGTGATGCCTGTTGAGTTTAAGATGGCAAGTACATAAATTTTAGTCTTATACTAACAACTTAAAACATATAAATGGAAACAGTTTTGGAGTACATGAAAATGTGAGACTGAATTTGGGCAAGAGGTTAATTTTGAAGATGTAGATTTGGAAGTCATTAAAGTGACAGCTGACTTAAAGAAAAGATAATTTCTTTGAGTGAGTATATAGAGAGGAAAAAAAATGAGTGTTGAGGAACAGCCAGGCTTAGAGGGAGGGAGAGAGGAAGAGAAAGAGAAACCAAAATAAGGAACCAGGAATGAGTTGTTGGAGAAGGAGGGAGGGGAAAATCACCATATTTCAGGATCATAGAACCCAAAGAAAGATCATATTTTAAGAGGAGGTAGCCACATGCCACTGAGATGGGAAGGAGTAGGACTCCCAAGTAAAGGTTTTTGCATATAAAGTTATTAATGATTTTTGAGATATTAAAATACATGGAAGGGGCTTCCCTGGTGGCGCAGTGGTTGAGAGTCTGCCTGCCGATGCAGGGGACACAGGTTCGTGCCCCGGTCCGGGAAGATCCCACATGCCGCAGAGCAGCTAGGCCTGTGAGCCATGGCTGCTGAGCCTGCGCGTCCGGAGCCTGTGCTCCGCGACAGGAGAGGCCACAACAGTGAGAGGCCACGTACCGCAAAAAAAAAAAAAAAAAAAAAAAATACATGGAGGCAGTAAAGTGGCAAAAATTGTGGAGAGTAGACATAAAAGAGGGGGAAAAATGGGTGCCAGGTCCCCCCTGAAATAGAAAAGCAGGATATTATAATCACAAGGCTAAACTTGGTTTCTCCTCTTTAATTCCCCAAATTTATGAGACATTCACATCTAATACTATTATCAAAATGGCATTGTAGAATAGGTGATATATTTTCAAGTGAAATCATATACATCTGTGATTTACTTCAAAATAGATCTAGAGTTTGGAATGGGGAGAAGAAGGTTGGGGGGTTAAAATATATAGGAATGAAATAAGATCGACCATGAGTTGATAATGTTGAAGCTGGGTGATGAGTACACACTCCAGCCTATAACAGAAAAAACTGTGGCCCCATTCCAACCCCCATAAGCAAAGGCCAATTGGGGAGCCTAGACTTCCAGCCTTACCAGGATCTAATGAGGCCCAATCCCCCATCAGACTTATGTCAGAGAAGTCTGAGTGAGGAGCCACTCTTTCATCCCTGCCAGGTGATGATGAAGCCCTCCTCTGCCTCCTCTGTGGTGACCAGCTGGGGAGCATGGACTACTGCCCAATGGTAAGGAGGCATAACTTTCTCTCCCAGTAGGGTGATGTCAGAAGAGGCCTAGTGGAGAACCAAGCAGTGATGAGGCCACTACCCCATGAGGTCAGTGGAGACCACAAGGGGAGCAGTAACAAGATGCCCCCATCCAGAGTGGTATTTTTATTGATACTTCATCCTCACTAACTCAGGCTTTACATGTGGAATCCCCTCAGTGGAAGGGGTGGGGGGTTTTCTGTTCATCCAACAAGTTGGTGAGGATGGGAAAAAGAAAATATTTAAAGAAAATTATATTTAATAAGTTTCCCTAACCTTTAAAAAAAAAAAAAAACAACCAAAAAACCCACGCCTAGTGAAAAGCCTGAAATTCCACCTCCATCCAGCAGTAACAAAGCACTATTCACCACCCTGGTGTCAGAGGACAATGAGTGGGACTAAGATAGCACTTCCCTACCCCCTTTGGTGTCATGTCAGAGGAACCCTGTTAAAACAGAAGATACAGAGACTCATAACATAATACCCAAAATGTCCAGGATATATCTGAAAATCACTCAATACCAAGAACCAGGAATATTTTGACTTGAGTGAGAAAAGGCAATCAATAAACACTGACACTGAGATGACACAGATGTTGGAGTTATCTGACAAAGATTTTAAAGCAGCCATCACAAAAATATCTTAACGAGCAACTACCACCATGCTTGAAATAAATGAAAAAATTTAGAAGTTTCAGTAAAGAAATAGCATACATAAAGGATCAAATGGAAATCTCAGAACTGAAAAATACTATAATCTACAAAAAAAAACAAAAACAAAAACACCTCACTAGAAGTACTTAACAGAAGAATGGGGATGATGGAAGAAAAAAATCAAGAACTTGAAGACAGAATGATAGAAATTACTCAATTTGAACAGAGAGAAAGAGGAGTGGGAAAAAAAAGAACAGAAGCTTAGAGATCTCTGAGACCATAATGGAAGAGCTAATGTACCTGTTACTAGAGTTCCAGAAAGAGACAAAAAAGAAAGTAAGGCTGAAAAAGTTTTCAAATAAATAATGGCTGAAAATTTCCCAAATTTGTCAAAGGACATAAACCTGCAGATTAAAAAGCTGAGCAAGCCCTAAGCAGTATAACCCAGAGAAATCCATGACAAGATACGTAATCAAACTTCTGAAAACTAAAGACAAAGAAAAAACCTTGAACACAGCAAAAGAGAAATGACACCTCTTCTTTTAGGGAAAAACAATTCTAATAACAGCAGATTCCTCATCAGAGATCACAGAGGCCATGATTTAAGTGCTGGGAAAAAAAAATTGTCAATCCTAAATTCTATATCTGGCAAAATTATGATTTAGAAATGAATAGGAAATATAGAATTTTGCAAACAAAGAAAATCTAAGGGAATTTGTCACTAGCAGATCTACACTAAAAGAATGGCTAAAGGAAGTTTCTGAAACAGGAAAGAAATGATATAAAAATAATCTTAGAAAACCAGAGGGAAAGAAAGAACAAATTATGAGTAAATAGACTTCCCTTCTCCTCTTGAGTTTTCTAAGTTACATTTGGCACTTGAAGCAGAAACACTGTTTGATGTGGCTCTCAGCATATAGAGAGGAAATATTTAATATTTGTATTTATTAATATTTAATATTATAAATGAGGGAGGGTTAAAGAGACTTAGAGGGAGGTACATTTTCTATTCTAAACCCCACTCAAACTAGTAAAATCTCAGTGCCAGTAGACTGGGATAAGTTATGTGTATTTAACTTAGAGGAACCACACAATTTTCTTACAAAGAGAGAGTCTGGTCAAAAACACTAATAAATAAATCAAAGTGGAATTCTAAAAAAAGGTTACTGTATGATGCTACACTCTCAAAATTACAAAATTATAGAGGGCGAACAGATTGGTGAATGCCAGGTGTTAGTGATGGTAAAGTGTTGGGGGAGGGAAATAGATGTTATTATAAAGGGAGACAGACCTCTGTGATGATAGAAGATGAGACCCCTCTGTACTATCTTTGCAACTTCCTGTAAAGCTGTAATTATTTAAAAATAAAAGGTGAACAAAAAATTATGTAGCAAACCACTTACCTGGCACGCATCTCTGTTTCCTTTCAAGGATCCAGCACATAACATTCTAGGAGTTATGGCATTATTGTAAGCTTTGTGTTCATTACAGATTTTAGTGTCTATGAGATCCACCTGTACTTGCCGAAGGTGATTTTGACTACTTCCTAAAGGAAAAAAATAGACTTCATATTTATAAATCTACATATATTCTATAAACCTCAAGAAATTCTTTTATAATTAATTATTAGATAAGGTGGTGGCATAGAATCTTAGGATATATATTTTTTCAGGTACAGTAAAATTTGGGAAATGAATTCTTTTCTAACTATTTTAAATGAAGTTAGGTGCCTAGGAAAGAAGCTCCAGTTGTTTAAGTAATTTCTCTGTCATTGTTAAGCTTAGAAGATAATTTCAGCAGGGGAGAATGGTGGCTTTATGATTCTCTGATCTTCACAACTGGGTGTATGTATTAATGATCCCTAATCTCTTATGTGGTTAATACCCTAGTAAAAATTTCAGATATATTTACTCTTTCAGACACCTTACCAAGCACAATTACTATAGTGGTAGTGATGTATTTGATAGTAACCTAAGGCCTGAAGGAATTTACGTGTCTTCTAAATGACTTAGTTCACAAGTAGGGCCTGACTTGGCCCCGGTCCATATGACCAACCCACAAACATATTTTGGCATAATGGCATTCCATTTTTTAAATGCCTTAGAATACCAAATTAAATTACTATGATTTGACTTTCTCCTCAGATGCGCACCATCATTTTGCAATGCTCCAAATCCTGTCACAAACATCTCATCACCAGGGTGGAATTCACGGGATGCATCAGGGAGACAAATTCTGTGTACTGCATTTGTGTAGGGAACAGGGCTAGAAAGCTCTGCAACTGAAATATCATAGTCATGTGATGGATATTTGTATTTTTCATGCACAATTATCCTCCGGAGGCCTTGTTTCATTTTTGGAGGCTCTATTTTTACTCCAAAGGAAGCAGTCCATCTGGCTGGGTCCTTATACCTGAGGAGAAAGTATGAGGAACAAATCCTACTTTACCATTTTTAACAATATAACTATTTATATTAAATAATTTAGTGTAAAAGTATCAATGTAAGTTTTCTTTTTAAAATGATGGTTTATATGCATAGATACAAACTCTTTCCAATCTAAGGCTCAGGTGTCAGATCAGGTGGAAATTCCACCTTGGCATGTTTCTTAGGATATGCACGCCACTCAGCATGCTGAGTCACCCACTCCAGATCCTAGGACCTTTTGACATTTCTGGGCATCAGTTGACTCCAGGGGACATATGGAAAGCATATCCTGTACAGAATGAGAGAACTGAATGTATTCTATGTGCACCATGTTGCCTATCCACACATTTCTCTGAAAATCAAAAATGTTATACAATAATTTAACAAAGCATTACTTATCCTGTATACTGTAGGCATTTTGCACTGGGTTGGAAGATTGAATTGAAATTCATTGAAATATAACTAGTCGACCTATTCAGTTGTATAATTTGCTACTACCAAATTTCTTCATATTTAATTTTTTCTTACAACATGGAATTTCCCTATCAGGGTCAAACCTACAATCCACCTAGCCTCCATCTCTGATAGATGACTCTCAAATTCCTGCTTCCTTTGATAAATTATTGTGTAGTTGTCAATGGATAATTTATCTACATGTACTTTGGTACCATTTCCATTTCTAAACTATAAAACCTCTTACTAAGATTTATGAATTTCCCACTCTCATATGTATGTGATCTTTAATTTGTATTAAACTCATCTCTTATGAGGTATTTCCTTCCTGCCAAGCTGCAGTGCACTTTGCTTACCCTTAGTCATTCTCAAGGTTTAGGACTTACGTTCTAAAGCAGTGAGCAGCACTCACAAGCCATGTGTCATTAATCAAAGTTGCTCCACAGCGATGGATCCCATCCCATTGCAGACTAGCTTGCCATGGCCATTCACCCTCTTGTACCTCTGTCCCACCAACAATCCTGAGACTCTGTCTTGTAGTTTTGTTCCTTCGTGTCCCGCAGCCTGCAAAAGACATGATGCGTTAGTTAGCAGTTGTTTTTTAAGTATCAAATTGTGTTACTGCGTCTCAAATTTCTTATACTTTGTGCTCCAACAGTATCAAATATTTTCTCTTGCGCTTACCTTTGCTTAAACTATAGTGTTCCATTTATTTAACTCCTTTTCATCTTGTAAGATTTAAATCAGTCATGACCTTCTCTAGGATGCCTTCCCTAATAATTCCCTTGCCTCCAGACTGGATTACTTATGACTTTCTTGATGCTTACATCAAAATAATAATAACAATAATAATACTCTGTGTATATATCTCTCTATATATAATAGATTAATATATATTAGTTTATATTATTGTATGTATATATGTCTAATATTAGTATGAGGGATATTGTTTATAACAGGATGTCTCAATCTTGGCACTATTGACACTGTTAGATGGATAATTCCTTGTGTGGGCAGCCGTCTCATGCATAATAGAATGTTTAAAGGATCCCTGGCCTATATACACTAGTACCAGTAGCATCCCCCCACTACAATCATGATAACCAAAATGCCACAATAGGACAGAGTCACTTGGGGGCCAAATTGCCCCTGTTTGAGAACTATTATTTTAGAACTCTGTTTATGCATTAGTCTCATATATCTAGTCTCACTTGAGTATGAGCTGCCTTAAGCAAGGAGTAAATCTTATCCATTTTATATCCCTGTTGACTAGCACAGCACTAGCACATAGCAAGTTCCCACTAAATATTGGTGACAAAAATATATGCCATTTAGGTAATGGGATTATCCTTTGGTTTTTATGTTTAGTTAAGTTTGTGAATTAACCAACATTCTGAGCTAGTGAATAACACACTTCCTTTCATCTTTTAACATAAATGTATTGTGTACTAATTCTGTTAAATATCAAATGTATTCTCTAAATCATGGTAGGGTACTCTGCTATAGGGGAAAGGAAATACTAAGCCTTGAGTCAGTATTTTTTTAAAATATGGGTGAAGATATTATCTGGGCCTTCAATAATTTCATCAGTCTATACTCCAACCCCATAATTGTCTGTAATTTTTACAATAGGGATTAATAACATCAAGATTTTATTTAGTGTAGAGTAACACTAAATTTCTGCCTCTAGCTGACAAATAGCAACATACAGATTACTTTTATATAATCTTTAGAAAATGTTCATGAGAGTATATTGTAGATATCTGCAATCAGAACATTGAGAAGTATTTTTGCCTTTTCTTTAACAACTGTACTACTCTCTTCCACTACACATCTGCCACAAGCCCCATACACCCATTCCAAAGTCCTCCCAGTTTTTATCCTTTTGCAATAAAATGTGCCTCAGAAATAAGATAAAATACCATGAGCTGTGCACAGATCAAACTTTGTTCTGACCCTATAATACCAACAAAGTAAGCCTAAATAATCCAGAGTTAAATTTTTCATTCAGGTAATGCAATTTTAATAAATATATTAAACTTACAATTGTTTAGAAAGTTGTCTGTTTCTGTCTTGTTGATTTCTGAAACACACAGAAATGGTGAATAGAACAGGGTCTGCACATCAGAATTTCATAATGCCTCTGAGTACTTCAAATACTAAAGGTTGCTCAATTCCATTATTGGATAGTATCTCTATGTTGTTAAAAAAAAAGCAACACAGTTAGTTTATCATAGATAGAAAACGTTCATTGTCTTGGGGAGAAGGGAGATTTGAACAGCGTTTCTTAAACTTTAGTGTGGCTAAAAGTCACCTAGAGAGCATCTTTATACTGTAAATTCCTGTTCCTCTTCCCAGTGATTCTGACTCAGTAGCTTTGTGCTGAAACACAGGAATCTGAATTTTATAGCCAAAAATAAGATGCAGGTAGTTCAGCCTTTTGCGTGGGACATACTATTCTAAACCAGAGTATTGATTCCCCAGATGCGATAGTATTTTTATTGCCCATTATTTCAGATTTTTTTTTTTTTACCAAACTCATAGGCATAGTTCCATCTGTATAACATATTCCAGTGGCCATAAATTTGTCCTTATTCCCATTTAAAAGCAAATGTTATCCTTTTCCAGGTCTTCTTTCTGCTGAAGTTTTAGCAAGACAGTTTGCCCTCAAATTGTCATTCAACTCTAGCCAGTGGCTCCTTAGTTTGTTGACTTGTCAACAATCAGGCCCTAATGCTATCCAAACACTAAACTAACCGACAGATACATAAAACTTTAAGAACTCAAATTTCCTGACTCAGTAGATTTCCAATGGCCCAACCTATTTTCTTAGAACCTGGTAAATGGGAGTTCTAAATGCAAAAAGTTTTAAAGTTAATTTTTATTTTAGTATTTAATAGTATTGATTTACCAAAAAAAAAAAATCTGTATTCTTGAGAGGCTTCTTTCTGACTTTCTCTGTTCTGGCTATATTTGGGGAAAATGACAAAAATGAGGAAGAAGTGACCATTTATTCTCAGTAAATAAAACACCACCACTAGTCTCCCTATTTCAATAACCTGTTCTTTATTTCAAGCTTTTCCTAGAGAAAATTCTGGCTTTGCATTTTTTTTAATTGGAGTATATTTTCTTTACAATGTTGTATTAGTTTCTGCTGTACAGTGATGTGAATCAGCTATATGTATACATATATCCCCTCCCTCTTAGACCTCCCTCACACCCCACTCACCCCACATCCCACCCATCTAGGTCATCACAGAGCACCGAGCTTTCTGTGCTTTATAGCATGTTTCTACTAGCTATTTTACACATGGTAGTGTACATATGTCAATCCTAATCTCTCAGTTTGTCCCACCCTCCCCTTCCCTACCTGTGTCTACATATCTGTTCTGTACATCTATGTTTCTATTCCTGCCCTGCATATAGGTTCATCTGTACCATTTTTCTAGATTCCACATATATACGTTAATATACAATACTTGTTTTTATCTTTCTAGCTTACTTCACTCTGTATGAAAGACTCTAGGTCCATCCACATCTCTACAAATGACCCAATTTCATTCCTTTTTATGGCTGAGAAATATTCCATTGTACGTATGTACCATATCTTCTTTACCCATTCATCTGTCATTGGACATTTAGGTTGTTTCCATGTCCTGCCTATTGTAAATAGTGCTGCAATGAACATTGGGGTGCATGTGTCTTTTTGCATTATGGCTTTCTCAGGGTATATGCCCAGTAGTGGGATAGCTGGGTCATATGGTAGTTCTATTTTTAGTTTTTTAAGGAACCTTCTTACTGTTCACCATAGTGGCTGTATCAATTTACATTCCCACCAACAGTGCAAGAGGGTTCCCTTTTCTCCACACCCTCTCCAGCATTTGTTCTTTGTAGAGTTTTTGATGATGGCCATTCTGACTGGTGTGAGGTGATACCTCACTGTAGTTTTGATTTGCATTTCTGTAAGGATTAGTGATATTGAGAATCCTTTCATGTGTTTGTTGGCAATCTGTATGTCTTCTTTGGAGAAATGTCTATTTAGGTCTTCTGCCCATTTTTGGATTGGGTTGTTTGTTTTTTTTGATTTGAGCTCCATGAACTGTTTGTATATTTGGGAGATTAATCGTTTGTCTGTTGCTTCATTTGCAAATATTTTCTCCCATTCTGAGGGTTGTCTTTTTGTCTTGTTTATGGTTTCCTTTGCTGTGCAAAAGCTTTGAAGTTTCATTAGGTCCCATTTGTTTATTTTTGTTTTTATTTCCATTACTCAAGGAGGTGGTTCAAAAAAGATCTTGCTGTGGTTTATGTGAAAGAGTGTTTTTCCTATGTTTTCCTCCAAGAGTTTTAGAGTCTCCAGTCTTACATTTAGGTCTTTAATCCATTTTGGGTTTATTTTTGTGTATGGTGTTAAGGAGTGTTCTAATTTCATTCTTTTACATGTAGCTGTCCAGTTTTCCCAACACCACTTATTGAAGAGGCTGTCTTTTCTCCATTGTATGTTCTTGCTTCCTTCATCATAAATTAGATAACTATATGTGCATGGGTCTCTCTCTGGGCTTTCTATCCTGTACCATTGATCTAGATTTCTGTTTTTGTGCCAGTACCATCCTGTCTTGATTACTATAGCTTTGTAGTATAGTTTGAAGTCAGGGAGCCTGATACCTCCAGCTCAGTTTTTCTTTCTCAAGATTGCTTTGGGGTCTTTTGTGCTTCCATACAAATTGTAAAACTTTTTCTTCTAATTCTGTGAAGAATGCCTTTGGTAATTTGATATGGATTGCACTGAATCTGTAGATTGCTTTGGGTAGTATAGGTATTTTCACAATATTGATTCTTCCAATCCAAGAACATGGTATATTTCTCCATCTGTTTATGTTATCTTTGTTTTCTTTCATCATTGTTTTATAGTTTTCTGAGTACAGACAGGTCTTTTGCCTCCTTAGGTAGGTTTATTTCTAGGTATTTTATTCTTTTTGTTGCAATGGTAAATGAGATTGTTTCTTTAATTTTTCTTTATTATCTTTTGTGGTTTGTGTATAGGAATGCAAGAGATTTCTGTGCATTAATTTTGTGTCCTGCAGCCTTACCAAATTCATCAATTAGTTCTGGTAGTTTTCTGGTGGCATCTTTAGGATTTTCTATGTATAGTATCATGACGTGCAAACAGTGACAGTTTTACTTCTTCTTTTCTGATTTGGATTCCTTTTATTTCTTTTTCTTCTCTGATTGCCATGGCTAGGGCTTCCAAGACTATGTTGAATAATAATGGCAAGAATGGACACCCTTGTCTTCTTCCTGATCTTAGAGGAAATGCTTTCAGTTTTTCACCACTGAGAATATTTGCTGTGGGTTTGTCATATATGGCCTTTATTATGTTGAGGTAGGTTTCTTCTTTGCCCATTCTGGAGAGTTTTTATCATAAATGTGAATTGAATTTTGTCAAAAGATTTTTCTGCATCTATTGAGATGACTATATGGTTTTTATTCTTCAATTTGTTAATATGGTGTATCACATTGATTGATTTTTGTATCATGAAGAATCCTTGCATCCCTGGGCTAAATCCCACTTGATCCTTTTAATGTGTTGTTGGATTCTGTTTGCTAGTATTTTGTTGAGGATTTTTACATCTATATTCATCAGTGATATTGGTCTGTAATTTTCTTTTTCTGTAGTATCTTTGTCTGGTTTTGGTATCAGGGTGATGGTGGCCTCATAGAATGAGGCCTCCCTCTACAATTCCTCCTCTACAGTTGTAGTTCCTCCCTCTACAATTTTTTGGAAGAGTTTGAGAAGGATGGTGTTATCTCTTCTCTAAATATTTGATAGAATTCAACTGTAAAGCCATCTGGTCCTGGACTTTTGTTTGTTGGAAGATTTTTAATCACAGTTTCAATTTCATTACTTGTGATAGGTCGTTTATATTTTCTAATTCTTCCTGGTTCAGTCTTGGAAAATTGTACCTTTCTAAGAATTTGTCCACCTCTTTGAGGTTGTCCATTTTATTGGCATATAGTTGCTTGTAGTAGTCTCTTATGATCCTTCGTATTTCTGTGGTGTCAGTTGTAATTTCTCCTTTTTCGTTTCTAATTTTATTGATTTGAGTCCTCTCCTTTTTTTTCTTGATGAGTCTGGCTAAAGGTTTATCAATTTTGTTTATCTTCTCAAAGAACCAGCTTTTAATTTTATTGATCTTTGCTATTGTTTTATTCATTTCTATTTCATTTATTTCTGCTCTGATCTTTATGATTACTTTCCTTCTACTGTTTGGGTTTTCTTTGTTCTTCTTTCTCTAGTTGCTTTAGGTGTAAGATTAGATTGTTTGTTTGAGATTTTTCTTGTTTCTTGACGTAGCACTGTATTGCTATAAACTTTCCTCTTGCTACATCCCACAGGTTTGGGTCATTGTGTTTTCATTGTCATTTGTTTGTAGGTATTTTTTTATTTCCTCTTTGATTTCTTCAGTGATCTCTTGATTATTTAGTGACATATTTTTTAGCCTCTATGTGTTTGTTTTTTTACAGTTTCTTTTCCAGTAATTGATTTCTAATCTCATAGCATTTTGGTTGGAAAAGGTGCTTGATACAATTTCAATTTTCTTAAATTTTCCACTGCTTGATTTGTGACCCAAGATGTGATCTATCCTGGAGAATGTTCTATACGCACTTCAGAAGAAAGAGTATTCTGCCACTTTTGGGTGGAATGTCCTATAAATATCAATTAAATCTATCTGGTCTATTGTATTATTTAACAAGACCCATATATATTCTGTCTACAAGAGACCCATTTCAGACCTAGGGACACATACAGACTGAAAGTGAGGGGATGAAAAAAGATATTCCATGCAAATGGAAATCAAAAGAAAGCTGGAGTAACAATACTCACATCAGATAAAATAGACTTTAAAATAAAGACTGTTACAAGAGATAAAGAAGGACACTACATAATGATCAAGGGATCAATCCAAGAAGAAGATATAACAGTTATAAATATTTATGCATCCAACATAGGGGCACCTCAATACATAAGGCAAATGCTAACAACATTAAAAGGGGAAACTGACAGTAACACAATAATAGTAGGGGACTTTAACACCCCACTTACACTATGGACAGATCATCCAAACAGAAAATAAATATGGAAACACAAGCTTTAAATGGCTTTGCATGTTGATACTGTTAAAAAAGGAAATAAGGAGACTCAAAATGGAGTGACTTGTTGTAAGTCCTACATCAGCAAACCACCTAATACCTAGCCTAATTGCAGTTTCAGCATGTCTCAGGAATGTGACCTTTAATCAGTCAATCTGGAATTACCTGGTCGGCACCAGTGAAGTAATCTGTCTGATAGACCCCACCTACTCCCAAATGAAGTTGCCCTTTCATGACACAGTCCACTCTGTTAGAAAGCTTCCTTGTCTCACCTCCTTCTGGCTATAAAAATCTTCCATTTTGTACAGCTCCTCAGAGCTCCTATCTATCTGCTAAGGCAGAATGCTGCACAATTTGTGAATCATTAAATAAAGACAATTAGATCTTTAAATTTATTTACTTGAATTTTTTTTTTTATACAATACTACTAACAGGGCTGACTTCATGGGTGTGTGACTTGTGTATCTGCACTGAGTCCTGCTCTCAGCATGACATCTCACTTGGTTTAATGTTCACTGTCTTGAAATTCATAATAATTTTATCTCATAACATGTTTGGAAGTGAATTTTGACAGGATAATAGAGATGGCATGGGCAGAGGAGATATACACAATAGGTGTGCCCATGGATTCTTGCTACCCCATTTGTATATATCATGCACAACATCCTAAGAACTAAGAATTCCAGTGGACCCACAATGTTTAGCAAACTCAAAGTGAGTATAAGTGTGTGATGTCTACCACTGTGTAAGCAGAGGGCCGTGACAGTCTCAGGAGGCTGTTTTCTGTTTGAACCAGAACTTGCTTAGAACACAAAAGAAGGCAATGGCATTCTAATAAACATGAATGACTAAGGGACCCTCTCATATCCTTTCTTGCTCCTGTTATTTCTTTGTATTAGCCAACAGCTTCAGCTGAAAATAATGACATAGAAGGATCTTTGGTTCTTCCTCACATAAGCTGAAGGTAGAGAGCATTGGTAAAATGTGCCTGTATCAAGAAGGGAAATAAAAAATGTTGAGCTAGACTTCTGTAGTGTTTCCATTGCATGGAACCAAAGTACATGCATGGATGAGCTATGAAATACAGTTGTATAATTTTCATGATTCCAAATAAAAGTTAAATGCTTTTATATTTACATTTGAAATTGACATTTCACAATATAAAGGTGAACAGCAAAACTCATGCTAGTAATTTAAAGTTTGGATTTTTTCACTTAGAAATCATTAATTAACAAGTAAAAATGCCATGATAAGTTGAGAGAGACCATGAAAGAAAGCAAAGTCTTATATCTTAGTACCTTTAACAGCATTGTTTAATTGCTTTTCAAAGAGTCCTACACTTTCACTTTGCACTGGGCCCGACAAATTACATAGCTGGCCCTGACAAGTGAGCCTCCTTTTCTAAGCAAGTAGAGGGGCTGACCACCAGGTTAGGCCTCTAGTTACATCTGTCAGCTTTTATATCAGCACTTGTATTCATTCTTTCTACTTGTCCCCTATTCTGTAGTTTCTAGTGCTGCCATATCCAATATTCTATTCACTAGCCACATGCGCCTAGTGAGCTCTTGAAATGTGACTGAAATGCGCTGTAAATATAAAATATACAATAGATTTCAAAGACTTATTACAAAAAAAAATCTCACGAGTAATATTTACGTGGGCTATTTGTCAATATAAATTACATTGTGAATACAATGTAAATTACATTAGCATTTCAACCAGTAGTCAGTTATTGGACTACTTGTTGAAATAGTACTACTTTGGATATATTGGGTTAAATATATAAATTATTTAAATACATTTCACATGTTTACTCTTACTTTTTTAATGTGGCTACTAGAAAGTTTAAGATCATACATGTGGCTGGCACAATATTTCCACAGACTAGCATTGTTCTATAGCACATGACTTAGCTTTAACCAGTCTTTTATTTTCCCTAAGGATCTCCTATTTTTATACTTTCTAGTAATGAGGACCTATCACTGTTTATCTTGTCCCCCTGCCCTGACAAAAACAAAAACCTCAGATTTTTCAAATTAGTTGTAAAATATACCAAAAATAATTTATACCAGAAACTAAATTATAAACTTTTCATCAGTAAAGGGCCTAAGTAAAGAAGCTAAAACAAAAACCTCAGATTTTTCAAATTAGTTGTAAAATATACCAAAAATAATTTATACCAGAAACTAAATTATAAACTTTTCATCAGTAAAGGGCCTAAGTAAAGAAGCTAATGACATTTGAAAGCAAATATGTGGATGGCATGAACCTTTCCATCCATCATACTCAGAACATAAAAAGTAAGCAACAAGAAAAAGAAGAGGAATAAACGCACAAAGCCACTTTCTCCATTTATCATTGGATTCTATAGCTAAAGTGTAAGCCCCAACATAGAAAAAGAACACAGGCTCAGGGGTTAATGACAGACTTGCATGGGTGGTGTAAGTTTAAGGTAGTATTAAAAAATTTTAAACTTCATTAGAACCAATTTAGTCCGAAAGAAATATTCTGTTGGTGGCAAGATCCCTACAAAGACATCCAAAAACGTTTTAAAAAATCAGTGCCCAAGGCCAAACTTAACATGGAGCTATTCTATGTAAGAGAATTGAACTACATAATAGGAAATAAACTTACTTTTAATTTCAACAAATTCAGAATTGAATTTAGGGGGTCCTACAGCATCTTGCAGCTTTTTATGTAGAACATGTTGAATAATTTTATTTATGGTTTCTGGATCCTCAGAAGAGGGAAATCTAAAAATCAGCAGCATATGAGCCAATACTCCATGTTCCTCTTGACTATGGACCAAAAAGGAAAAAAAAAAAAAGAGAAAGATGGTTTTTTAAAGATAAAGTTCCAAATAAGATTTATGGTAATATCAAATTCTATTTTTTTCTTTATCATTCATTTGAAGCACAAACACAAACACAAAACAAATCCATAAATGCAATTTTAAAAGTTTTAATTTATTTTCTTCTATACTCCTATTGTTTGTCATATATAGAACTCCCATCTCAGCCTCTCTGATAAGCAACTAGTATGCTCATGATCTCCCTTACCACCATAGGATCTAGTTAAATACTTGGGTTATTAATATAAAAAACAATTCTCTTGTCAACCATTCAAAATTATCAAATAAAATGTATGGTAAATATGAAATCAACTCTGGCTTTGGCTTTCAGGCTTAATTTCCAGTGGCTTAAGTAAATCCAGTGATTTCTCCTAAGCAGCCTTCAGGCTATCCTAAACAACTCCCAATCCTAAGGACATTAGAAAGCTTGAGCAAGTTGTTTTGACTTCACGTGATTATATTTCCAAGATAGAGTGTTCACTAGCTTTAGCATTATTTGAATGAATTACTACTTTGGAATCATCCTTTATTTATTTATTTATTTTTTTTGGAATCATCCTTGACTACACTTTCTCATTCTCTGTCACTTACTCTACCCTTTCTTTTCAAATGCAATCAGTTCCCTTTTAGTCTGGGTGCAATAAGCTGCCTCAGTGCTGGGCCCTGGGATGGGTGAGCCTAAGGGCATGGGCCCTTTAAGAGCCATCTCCCAGATGGCTACAGTTTTGTGGTTCTCAGAACTCAAGCACTGTTTATTTTCAAAGTTAGCTGTTTTGGAGGCTCATCTCTCAGGTGCACATCCTAAAAGTTGAGGTGCCTGATATGGGGTTCAAACCCTTCAGTCACCAGGGAGAATCTCTGGGTTTTGAGTTTTCTTCTGGTGTGGGTTGCTCTGCTGGGGTGGAGTTTATGACAAAATTGTGTCCCATTGTCTCCAGCCTGCTTCAATGTGGTTTTCTTCTCATTTGCCCAATGTGTAGTATTTACTCAGCCAACTTTTTTTTTTTTAAGGGAAAATTGTTTCTTATGTAGCTGCAGACTCAGTGTGTCCATAGGAGAAGGTGAGTTCAGTTCTTCCTACTTCACCATCTTGAACCAGAACCCCAAACAATTTTACTCCTCACTGTATACTGCATCAACTCCTATGCTCCCAAACTGTAAGTGTGAATATAAATTAGAATCTCACTTTTGGAAGGCAGTTTATCTGTTATAAATTTGACTATCCATCTTCTTTGATGCAGCATTTCTGCTTTTAGAAGTTTAATTTTCAAATACACTCTTTTGTGTGCAAGGAGATACGTACACATATGTTGTCATAACCTTATTTTTAAATCAGAAAAATATGTAACAACCCAAGTGTTCATCAAAAGGGCATTGGCTAAATCAATCTTGACATATACTTGTAGTGAAATACTATATAGCCAGCTAAAGAATGAAATAGATCTATATGCAGTCATTGGGAAAATGTTAAATATAAGTTGTTAACAAAACATATCATTTCTGGGTGTGAAATTATTGGAGAGGGGGCTTTCGCTTTCTATTTTTTGTAATACTGTGTTATTTGAATTTTATAAAATTTTCTATTGTTTTCGTAATCTGAAAAAAACAAATAGGACTTTAAAGAGATTATTGTTATATATCTCATCCCATTTCACTGCCTCAGCAACCCTATAATCTATTACTTACTCTTTCTTATTTATCTTAAACTATTCCTATACTGGCTGGCTAATAGAGACAAAAACAAACAAAACTCTCCCTCTACCCCAGCTATCTCACACCTTCATATCACAGAAAACCTTCTTAAATGGATAAATTACATTCTGCCTCATATTTACTTCACTGCAGTCTGCATCCTCCCCTTCTGTTCCACTGAGTTGTTTCTCTGCTTGAACACTAATGACTTCCTCATTGACATTTCCAATGGATTCTTTCTAGTCACATTACTTGGCATCTCAGGAGTCTTGTTGATTCTGACCACTCACTCCCTGAAACGTTCTGTTGTTAGCTTCAGTGGTGCCTCTCTTGTTTCTTCATTTTTCCTGCTCCTTCCCTATTTCCTAGGTTCCTATTTTTCTTCTATTTCCTTAAATACTGTCACTCTTCAAGCTTTCTTCATCATCCTTTTTTTTCTTGCATTACTCCTTTTCTGAGAAATTCTGTTGACACCCACACTTTCTAATACTTTGAGTTGATGTTGAGCAAATTTATGTCTTCAGCTCAGTTTCCATTTCCTCCCTTACGTCAGACGCATATTTCAGGCTCGTAAGGTCCCTTAGTACCTCAAATCAACATCTCTAAGACTGACTTTATCTTTCCAAGAAATTACACTTCTTCATATTGTAGTGACAGAAGAAAGAATAATGAGTAGCAAGATTTCTGGGATGAAGGCGTAAACAAAATAGAAAGTTATTTGGAAGACAGAATTGGTAGTTATTCATAAAGTGCGAGGGGCCCAGGAAAGGGAGGAGTGTGGGATGACTTCCAGTTTTCTCATTAGTGTGATTGGGTTTTTCTTGAGTTTAAGAATTTTCTGTGAAACCTCCATGTGGAGGTGTGCGTGGGCAGGCATATAGTTCTAAAAATCAGGACAACAGTTTAGACTGGAAATAGAAACTTGGGTTTCAATAGCACATGAAACCATGTTGTGGGTGGATGAAGTCCCCTTGAGAGAGTGAAAATTTAAGAACTGGAGAAGCAGATCTAAGAAAAAGTAAAAATTCAAACACCAAAGAGTATGGAATTTTCAGGAGAAAGTGAGCAAACTAACACCTCAGAGATGTCAACTAAGTAATAGACTGAGAAGTAACTTGGAGTTTTTGTCATTGAAATAATGTTGGAAATAGCTCTTGTTTTATTTTGAAAAATAAAAATAATTTGTATTAAGATGATACATTACTTAAGATCCTCGTATAGTATTTTGCTTAAAATGTTATGTTCTGGATTCTATTTATTGATGGTTGATGATCAGATCTGAGATCTTAAGTATTTGTAGAAAAAATGAGTGGAATGAAAGAAAGGAAAGAAAATTGGTAGGAAGGAGAACCAAGAGGAGAAGAAAAATCTCATCTACTACACTATTTTACATAGGACACTTACTTGCTATTAAACCGAGGGATGTGGCTCAGGTTCCTATTTGTGCTAATTAGGGATTCCAAAAAAACACACAAACAAACAAACAAAAAAACAGTTCTATAACATAGCCACCAATAACACTTCTGTTCCTCAAAATCATCTTGCAAATGCCTTCTTTTGAATTTAAAGAATGAGTAAGGCACATTGTAACCCATGACTTATACAGAGCAGGTACCAAATTAACGTCTATTGAATTGAATTATATCATATCATTAACACTTCAGACAGTATTTATTACTGACCAGGTTAACAGCTTTAGCTTTAAATTATATTCAGAAGTCAGCATTTTAGATCTACATACCTGAACTTGATAATGTGAGACTTGACAAATGCTTGCCTCAATGAAGATTTATGAAATGCATTATTCACCTGTTCCAAAAATATTCAAAATACGTCGGCAAGGATAATTTTCTGAAATTTTGCAAATTGATTCAAAGCTTAAAAACATTTTTAAAAAACTTAAAAACAAAACACATTGACTGACATTTCACAATGTGCTAAACTTGAGGAATCTCTTTTTGTATTCTACTCAGTGATTTCAACTGAACTCTGCCTTAGGAATTATAGGAGCTGGGGAACCATAGTAGGGGGGCCAGGAGTGACATCTTCTATGTTACACTCAGAAAGAGACAAAAGAGAATAAACAGATTGGGTTTTGAAAAGTAAGAGTAAGCACCCACACCGTGAGATACAGACTTTTACAGTAGATAAACAAAGGAAATGAAAAAGCTCTGTCAAGTGGTAGATCATAAAAATAAGGACAATCTATGGCCACACCATCCTGAACATGCTGGATCTCATCTAATCTCAGAAGCTAAGCAGGGTCGGGCTTGATTAGTACTTGGAAGAGGGAAATGAACGCATAATGGTGTCACATGGTTCTCAAACCTGGTGAAAAAGTTACCAAATATCCTGTCATAATCTGCACTCAATTCAGCACTCAAGATGCTCTTAGGAAGGCCCAGGTGAACTGGGATACATAGCTAATACCTCCTGTAAGGTTTATTCTAGTAGGGTGGAAGAATGTATTTTGTGGAGGTATTTCTTACTTCTACAAATAAGAATTCTAGCCAACTTAAATTTTTAAAGTAAAAGTCAAGATAAACATATCAAGTGTTTCTTGTTTTCACTGTATGGATATTTACCAAATACAGATACTACAAGCTGATAATTGATTGACAGAAACAATGAGCCTTTTTATTCTTTCTTACATTTTGTTTGACTTCTGAGTCTTTGTGCCCAAGGAAAGTTACTTCAATTATGAGACAAATCAGCACAATTCAAATGAGTTCTCTAATGACAGCATTCACTTGGAAATATTTATTTAAAGGTTTATTTTTTTATCAAACAATTTCAAAATTATTAATTTTTAAGAGTATTAGAGTCTTATTTATATTCCTATATATTTAAGTCAGTATGGATCTTATAAAAATTTTAGTGAATGGCACAAAAAACAAGGAAAATAGTTGCATCTTTACTTGATCTCTTTAGTTCTATTTCCTTTCCTTTAATATATGTTATATTTTAAGCAGATATATATATATATATATATATATATCCTAAAATATAGCTCCTTAAAAAGAGCTTATTTGATATTTCCCTGGTTTGGTGTTTACAAGTACAAATACAACCAGGATTTGACCCTCTCCTCAGCAAAGTATCCAAATCCTCAGGCTCCTAGTCTACCAGGCAGTTTCTAGGTGGGCCACTGCCATTCTGTTCTCACTCAGGATATTGGAACTGGAAGACAATTTGGAAATTTTCTAGTCTAGTGCCTTAATTTTCACATAAGAGAATTTTTCCAGAATGATAAAGAGATATGTCAATGACACATCACTGGCTAGTAAATGGTACTAGAACTAGGTGTCCCAACTCCTAGTTTAGGGTGCTTTCCATCACATCATTTCACTAATTACTTCACAGACTACCAGGAAAAGTCTAAATTATTCTCTAAGTAGTCTGACAATGAAGAGAAGTCATCACCCAGGCTCTTGCTTTTTTGGCCTATACTGCTAAATTTTCCACTATTTAAAATATTCAGTTCATTCCTCAGGATGAATGTTGATGCCCTAACGATAAAGATGAATATCCAAGGATTTCCTATAGACTTATGTACCAAAAACTTGTCCAAGGTTGGATATTTTAAAATACTAAGATACTTCTCAAGTATGTGTCTGAATAGTTTCAATCTTGTGTCCTTTTGCTAAAGGTCTCTTCTTTAGGAAATCAATGATACAACAACTGTATCTTGGGTCACCCTAACATTCTCAGAATTTCTAGACTCTGCTGATCAATACTGTAGCACTAGCTAAGGAAGGGTGAGTAGGAGGTACAAAAAGAAATGGCTAAACGTCACTAGGTTTAGCCCTGTAAGACATATTCCTCCAATTCATGTATTGTTAGTTTTGTCTTATATCTCTCAGGTAGGGCCTCTCCCCATTTTGCAAGATATACAAGATCAGTTGAATGGATGTTTGAGAAGCTAGGATACTAAAAATTATGGTAAAAAGTGATAGCAAATACCCTAGAAGTGGGAATAAAATGCTTACCATTGATTCAATTTTCTGGCTCATTTCTGTGAAATTTTTAGAAGCCTCTTTTCCGAACTCACCATATAGTTTGTCACTGGTAAATGGCAATGTGCTATAGTAATTGTAGGTTGTCTTTTTATCTACAAGGATAGAGGAAAAAACTCATCATACTTTTTATCAGATGTGTGTAAAGCATCATCATTTCCCCATTTGGTAGTTGCTAGACAGACTGAGACAGGAAACAATGCTACCCTGGTCAACATCTCTATCATCCTGTTCTGACCTTCATGGTTATCTCAAAGTAAAAGACAACAACGTTCATCATCATAAGATTTAGAGTATAAAAGCCATGTGAAATGCTTGGTGTTCCTGTAGGCTAATTAGTCATGTGTTATCCATTCCTGAATAAGCCACAAAAAGCAGTAAGTCACACCATCTGAGCATATCAACAGGAATAGATTCAGAAGCTTCCCAAGAGTAAATGCATTTTTATATTTTAAAAGTAGATTTCTTCCAATTCCATAAACTACACATCAATTCTTGCCATAGGGACTCTAGTGTAAGAATATTTATTTTGGATAAGGAGATGAGGGTAGGGATTAAAATGTTAGGAGCTCAGTATATAAAAATTTAAGGAGGTAGAGTTGCCACTGGACATAACCCTCCAGAGACACTACTTAGTTTCACCTGGTTCCCTTGTCACTCTATTTATTTTCTCCCACCAGCCATAGGAATTTGTTTGTCTGTTTCTTTAGCCATTGTCTCCACTTTCTGCATCCAGTTCAAGCAGCCCATGTTTTTGGTCTGCTGAAGAATTAGTGCAACAATTCAAGCTTTTCCTCTACCCTCCTGTACATGAAGCAAGCACAGAGCTCAGAAGATTCATTCCATGAATATTCAGCTGACTATCTTTTCTGTGAGAGACTCTGTGCCAAGCATCTGGAACATGATGGTTGCGTATGGTTATGATAGGAAAATGGAGTGTGCCTCATCAATCTCAGATGCTCTCTTCTCAACCTTTCCCTCACTTAAACCCCAGAGGGAAAGGAAACTAACATTAGACACCTGTGTCCCAAGCATATTTGCATATCTCATTCAATTTAAAATAACTCCCATAAGAAAGTAGTATTATCCACATTTAACAGATAAGGACTACCATCTCAGAAGTGTAAATAAATTGCCCAACCTTAACATGACATGGCCGGAAAAGACTGAACTGGGTTTCAAGCTAAGGTCTAATTCCCAAAGCACAAATTTTCATTATATATTGCTTCTTGGAGTGGAAAAAACCAAATACACTCACTGAGACTATAGGAGAAATCTCTAGTTTTACATGAGAGTTATATAAGAAAAAAAAAAAAACTACCAGTAAATTCCAAAAGAACGTTCTAGCCATCCAGAGGATTTGTTGGGACAGAAAGGGAAACCTCTGGTCAGACTCGGACAAGGCCTGGGGAGGGGTTGGTTATGCATAAAGGAGATGGATGACACTGAAAGGTCAGGGTCTCCTGAGCATTAGCCACTTAAGTGAGGGTCTAGGGAGGATTTGCCTTTCTCCCTCTCTTTCACTGAATGACCTTGCCCTTGCCCTGAGGACTGTTTGACCTGAAATGCAAGCAGATCACAATATACATAATTTCAAGTAACATTTTAAATTTATCTAAATATTGACCAATAGTTTACTTTAGGTCTAAAGTTGGGCCCAACATGTATCTGGAGAAAACCATAATTCAAAAAGATACACATACCCCAATGTTCATTGCAGTACTATTTGCAATAGCTATTGTGTTGTATTGTAAGTTGTATTGTATTGTAAATTTACTATTACAATACATGGAAGCAACCTAAATGTCCATTGACAGAGGAATGGATAAAGAAGAGGTGGTACATATACACAGTGGAATAAGAAAGCCATAAAAAAGAATGAAATAATGCCATTGGCAGTGACATGGATGGACCTAGAAATTGTCATACTGAGTGAAGTCAGACAAAGACAAATATCATATGATATTGCTTATATGTGGAATTTTAAATAATGGTACAAGTGAACCTATTTACAAAACAGAAATAGAGTCACAGATGTAGAAAACAAATTTATGGTTACCAAGGGGGAAATGGGGGGAGGGATAAATTGGGAGATTGGGATTGACATATACTCACTACTAGATATAAAATAGATAACTAATAAGAACCTACTGTATAGCACAGGGAACTCTATTCAATACTCTGTAATGACCTATATGAGAATAGAATTTTAAAAAGTGGATATATGAATACGTATAACTGATTCACTTTGCTGTACGGCAGAAACTACACAACACTGTAAATCAACTATACTCCAATAAAAATTAATTAAAGAAATAAAGTTGGGCCCAAGATTCTGCATTCCTAACAAACTCCTAGATGAGGCGGATGTTGCTGGTACCTAACCACATGTTGAATAGTAAGGTTCTAAAGAGGAGGAAAATATACTCTTCTACATCCTTAGACCTGTTTCTTTTCGTTATTAGATTGAATTATTTGAAATTGCCATTTATATAGGTTAAAAATGGTCAAATATCAGCAATTTTATATGCTTCAACCAAATGAACAACTTATCTATAGTCAATATTTTAATTTGCCTGATAGACTCAAATAGGTTGCTAGGTGTCAAAACATATTTCCAGTTACCAGAATTATATGGCATGTGCAGTTGTTGAAAAATATTATTGAGAATATTAACAGAAAAGAAAAATAAGGATGAACATGAGTTTGCTGATAATTTTCTAACAGCTTTGTGATTCTATAACCTACAGTGATGTTCATAATAGATTCACCTGCTGTCAGTCAAATCACAAAAGGGACAGAAACGCAGTCCCAAAGGCCACTGGATAAAAACTGAACACACAGTTCTATGCTGTCCTGGGTTTTATGCCAAAATGATGCAGTCTGATCACCTCCATCTTTATCTGCCTGTTTCTACAATAGATTTGTTTGGCTCAGTTTGGTTATCTAGGCGTGCCAGCACCTAAATTCTCATGTGTTATATCTACTCTGTTCTTAGGTTATATCTCTAAACAAAAGACAGATCACAAATATGACAGTAACACATATCATAACAATTGCTGTTTATTCAGGTGTGGTGTGTGGGCCGTGGACGTTGTGTGTTCCATATTACTCAGCTGATCATCCCAACAATAGGGTACACAGGAACAGGTTACTGAAATCTTACCAGGTTTTTATTGTATGCATATGAGTAAGATTTGTAAGCCTTGTAATACTTGGCTTGGGAAGAGGCAAAGGAGAAGTAGTAAGAACATTTTCTCTCACTGAAGTAATAAGATCCCTAACATGACTAGGAATTCCTTGTTAAGTCAGACAAACCAAAATATGCCCCAAGAAAATATCGTAGGTATAATTCATTTATTTTTATCATTCAGTATTCAGTAAACATTAATTATCTAATATGCGCCTAATAAGTTCTTTAATAAGTTCTAGAAATATAAAAATGAGTAAAACATAGGCGTCCATGGAGAGGAATAATGATGCTTACAACATAATGGGACTTAATATATTCAGAACAGAACTGTAAAATTATAAAGTTATTTTAGCTATTCTTTTTATACTAAAAAACATGCTCCAGAGAAATTATCAAAATGCAGATAGTCCAAATTCAAAGAACTGCATGTGGGCAAATTCTACCCCCCCCCAAAAAAAAATCTTTGAATACTTTTTCTTTCAGGAATAATCCACCTTGTTTAGGAAATTGAGATTGGATTTGTGTCTGCTAGTAGAAGATAACCAATTTACAGATCACCATCTCTCTTTACAAAAAAGCAACTGCTACAAATTCCCAATTCAATTAGAATCCAGTGATTAGCTTCTTTGGTTACAGGGTCTTGAACATCAAAGCATTATCTAGTCACTAAGGGAGATATTAAACAAATAGGTCAAAGTGGAGTCAACAAATTAAAACCTGAGACAGAGTAAGAAGGAAACTTCAGAAGGGTTGTTATGCCCTAGAAGAACAGTTCTGAAGTACCCTGGGGACCTTTCTAATAACATAGCAGTGTTCAGGGTTCATCTAGCAGGGAGGTACCTGATTACCACAGAGTGAACCTCTTTGTAATTAATATTCTCAGCATATCCTATCTCCTTTAATCACTTGCAATATATACCAAGATGATTTTAAAATAACGAATAGGCATTTATTCAACAATATATTACTATAAGCATTTTCCCGACTTACTAGTACAAAATAGAGCCTACTTCCCTATGATCCCTGATTGTACAATTTATTGAGCTGTCGGGATTTCAATGAGTTGGAGTTATTTTAAATCAAGATGATTGTCCTATGACCTCAAACAACTCCAAACATTGGACTGTAGCTTTCCTATGGTTTTCCCTTAATTAAGACTTGATTATTGCTGTTAATGAATATGAAAACTAGCATGCTATTCCCAGCAGGAAGTATTGCTACATCAAAGATAGAAGAAAGAATCCTCTTTGGCTTGTGAGGATTAAATGAGTAACAAGGCTGGTGAAGAGTCCTTTGTACCAGCTATGCAAACAAATTATAGAAATGAATGAATAAGCTTGAGGCAAATCAAAACAGGTATATAATCAGGAAATATTTGAGGTAAATCACTTGATGCCAGGGCAACCCATACTTACTGTATCTCACATAATGAACGATGAGTCCGATGCACACTGCCAGGACAATCAGGGATATAAAGGTGATGAGGCCAATAACCCAGGGCTCCAAACAAGCTCTCCTCCTGGCCCTCACCACAGCTGGCCTGAGAAAGAAAGCAAACGATGGATTATATTACAGTGCACACCCATACCCACTCCTTAGGTGAAGTAGATATTCCTGGGGAACTAATTCAGGACACTCAGTTAGAAGGAAGAGTACTGTTTTGTTTTAGAACACACCCTAATCCCTGGCTGCTGAAACCATTCCTGGCTCTGGTTGCTTGACCTTAGGCAGGTAATTTGACTTCTCTGTATCTCAGTTTCCTCATTCAAAAAATGAAGATGATAATGATAGTACAATCTTATAGGATTGTTGTAAGGATTAAATGAATTACTGTATGTAAAGTGCCTACAACAGTGCCTCGCATGTAGAAAGTGCTATTTAAGAGTTAGCTATGATTTGCTGAGCCAGCTATGTGCAAGATACCAAGTCGGGCACTTCCACTGTAGAATCTTAAATGGCCTATGATATATGTTACAGTTTGAACCATATTAGGTTGAGGGCAGAGCTTCTAATTCTATTCTCTTACTATTTTTCTGAAACAAACTTAGAAGATACACATAAGAGATAACCAGAGGTCTCTTCTAAAGAACCTGAGTGTTTGAGCTAATACTTACCTCTAAATTTCAGCAATGCTGCAGGAAATCCCTTCTGCATGAAACTTCCTCAACCTCTCCCATTTGTTCTGCCTTCAAAAATACATGTTACTGAAAAATGTTGATCAACCTGATTTTTGTTTGATTAGTAAAGCTGTCATTCCCTTGTGTTAAAATAGCTGCTAAACAAACTCAAAAGTTAGGGAAAATGAAATAAGTCAGAGTTGGCCAAGTTGTTTAAATACGATGCTGTTATTTTAAATTTCTTGAGGTATTTAGCACGTTGGTAGAGTCAAGGCATGTGTTCTTATCTCCAGAGCAGTCTGGTACAAGAACTGAGGGAAAGGGAAGTGCTATCCTGAATGAGCACCTGGGGTTGCTTCAGAATAAAGAGAATTCCAAGTCCAGCCCTTTCCTTACCAGCTTGGACAAGTTATTTAGACTCTGAACTAAGTTTGTCCATCTGTCAATAAGAGACAGCCTACCCATTCTGTTTAAAGCACATGGTTGACTGTGGGACCCAGAATGAGATCATGAATGTGAAAACTTCTCGGAAACTGTGAAGCATTTCACAGTAAATAATCGTTGCTTACAGAAATCAAGAGAACTCTGTTTCCTGATGATACAAGACCAGGAAGTGACATAATCATTCTGGTCCCTGGCATACCATCATCCCATCTTGGCTCTGTCTCAATGTCCTGTTTGGTGGGAACACTGTTGCAGAAGTCAACAGTTTCATCGCTACATGACTCTGCCCTGCTGAAGTCACTGGAATGTAGTGGAAGGCTCCAGGGACTCTACTTGGTCTCCTCCCTTATTTCTGTGATATCCCCATGGGGCTGTAGCCGAGGAAACTATCTTTCTCTCCCCAATCTCTTCCATCTCCAGTTCTCCCTTGAGTGGGATTCCAAGCACCTGTTCCTACAATGACAATTACTGTAATATAAAAAGACTTCTCCACTTCTCTTCTGCACACTTCTTACATGAAAACATGCGTAAGAAACTTACAAATTGACTCCTGTTCCTTCATGCCTGAATGCTTGCTATTCATTTCTTGCAGAAGAAAGGAGATGCATATAGCAGACATAAGCAAAAGTTTGGAGGGAATATGGGGAGGGAAGGGCTTCTCAACTAGTTTCAACACATGTCAGATGAAGAATATGAATTTGTAAATGTAGGAAACAATTGATATTGATAATCATCAAAAGAATATGTAGAACTGTGAAATATAAGACAGAAGTTCTATTTATTCTACAATAACTCTTAATCAAGACAGAAAATTAAAACAATGCAGCCATTAAATTGATGAGGTAGAGCTACCCATATTAACATGCAAAATGTCAATGATATATTTTAATGAAAAAATATTGCAGAATAATATGCATACTATGTTCCAGTTTTTGTACAATAAAGCTATATGTGTAGGTGCATAGTGAAGTATATAGAAAGACACACAAAATTTTTAACAGTAAGAAGTGGAATAACAGAAGTGAGAGAGCAACTTTAATTTTAATTTAGGTACTTTTTATGTTATGATGGATTTAAAAAAAATCATGGCTTTCGAATTAAATGAGAGAGAGAGAAAAAGAGAGAGAGAAAGTAACGAGGACGGTTATACATGTCTCTTCATGGAGTTCCTATCACTATCTTGTTTGAGGTACTGCTGTGTCTTCTTTTCCTGTCTCCCACCTTTCAAAACTATTTTAGGGATGCTCTGTCTTTGGTGGCTTTGAGGGAAATAATAGGGATAGTATGGGATAAAGAAAAAAGAGAATCCATCAAAAACACTTTGAATAAACAGTTAAGAGAGTATGTTTCTGTTTCTGACCACCAACCTACTGTATAGTGTGGTACCAGCAGATTCACTTCTCTCCCTTATTTTCTCCATATGAAAAACAAGGATAAGAATTCCAGACCCTTCCTAAGTTGATGAGCTCTTAGAGATAAAAATGATGAAGTATTTCATTACTTTGAGCTGCCCAGTAGAAAATCATTGTACAAATAGTAAGGACTATTATTATTATCATCATTATTTTAATTATTAATAAGAATGGTAATGACCACATTACTGAGATTTTTTCATTTGAAACATTATCTCTTCCCTTCCCAGTCTGTATGAGATTGATTTTCAAACTGATTCACCCTGTTTCTTAATTACTTTTTTTGTTTGCTCTCTCAGCAAGTGATTCTATACTGAATTGCTCCAAATTAGATGTAGTAGAAGTGTGCTAAAAAAAATAAGTAAAATGGAGGAATAAATCTATTTTACATATCAACAGACACTTGTGTAACTAACCTCTTCCTGCACATAAACACTTGTCCAATCATTACTGGGGCCTGTTGAAACTTACATGAACCTGCTCTTATAAAACCACCTTCAGACAGACTGGATAAATTCTAATAGCTTCAGTGGTATCAGATTTCTTTCTATGATTTTTCTTTTCAATTGAGGATGTGTAATTAGACGGTGAATGTAGCAGGTGAATATAGCAGTTAAAATATGGTTATATTTTTATAATCTCCAAATTGCCAGAAGACAAGTCCAGAGGTGCATTATCATTATCACTTCTTAATGTGTCTTTTTCTAGAATAGTATAAGAAAGAAAAGCAGCAGAAACAACAACAAAAAGAGGAGAGGAAAAAACATACTACCACAAATAAACCACATGGCAAGCACTGGAGAACCATAAGTCAAGGCTCACAGTGCTTCAGAGGAAAGTTTACTAGAACAAACGCTTTCCTAACACCACCACCATGGACCGATTAATAGTAGATGTCCAACTCATTGCCCATTCTCTGTAATGGTAAGCAGTGCTGATATTCTTAGTTGGAATGTTTCATCAGCTCAGTCCAGCTGAGCTGTTTTGAATGAACACATGCACAATATCTATAAAGTTGGTGATGCTAATGCATCATTAACTACTTAAGCCAGAGGTCAGCAAAGTTTTCTGTGAAGGTCCAGATAGTAACTATTTTAGATATTCTGGACCACACACTCCCTATTGCAACTAGTCAGCTCTGCCATTGTACTGCAAAAGCAGCTACAGACAATATATATACAAATGAACATGGCTGTGTTCCAATAAGACTTTATTTCTGTACACTGAAATTTGACTTTTGTATAATTTTCACTTGTCATGAAATATTTTTTAAATTTTGATTTGTTTCAACCATTTAGAAAGTATAAAAATCACTCCTAACTCAAGCTCAAAACAGGTCGTGGGCTGGATTTCACCCTTGGGCCATAGTTTACTGATGGCTGACATAAGCAATAGCCTACAAGTCAATGATAATTGTGTTGGGAAGTTATAATAGTCTTTTCATTTTTTAGTCTCAACTGCATGGCAAATCTAATTTAGTGTGTCTCCAATCCCATTACCACTAACTTTGTTCTGATAATTGTCACTAAAACTCATCGTCCAGCTCGATGACAGGTTTCTCATCTGCCTCCCCAATCTCTGAATCATTGTCCATTACAGTAAGTGCTCTTTCTGGAAGTGATAGAGCCAATGGCTAGGATCACTTGAAACCCAAGTTGGCCTCAGTTAGCCTGGCATTCCCCCTCTTCCCCACGAGCTTTCTAGCTCTTTGCCTTTGTTCCTGCTGCCTCCTATATGGAGTAACTCAGAGTCTGTAATTTGCTTGCATCATAAAAGCCTTTGTGCATTTAAGAGCCAGTTCAGAAAAGTCTCCTTTATTTCAGTAAACTATATTCACCCCTAAGTATCACATCATAATATACATCTTGAGCCCCTTGGGGATAATGTCTGTGCCTTACTTATCTCTTTATTCTCTGACCACTCTGATGCTCAATATATATTCACAGAGGGGATTGAACTGAAGTTGATTAAGCCAAATTGAACTGACCATTTGTCAGTACCACAATATGGGTTTCAACCTCTCTCAAAGCACTTCTGTTCTGCCTTAGTCTTAGAAAAGAACTTGGAATATTACAAAAAGAAAGGAAAGGTCAGACGTTGTGAAGAATAATTACTATTTAAGTAAAACCTGATTTCCATAAAACACTTTATATAATAATCAAGCTTTGTGGTTGATATGTCTATTTCACCTGTTTAAAATATATAATTTTCCAACTATGATTTTATCTATCTACTGTGAAGTATTATCATAGTTCAGAAAGTGATAAATGAAAATAAGGAGACATTAATTTCAGGAGACACTTCTTATTTGTGGTCATTGAATGTCTGTATATAATTACAATATCCAAACAAAAGCATAAGGAAAGATACCACAATGAAGTAACAGCATAGTACCTCATGACATTACTAATTCCCTAAGTCAGTGCTTAAGTTTTAAAATAGTAGTTAATAAATATTTATTCAGTTTTTGTTGAGTATTTGGCACTAGCTCATTTCTTTACCTTATAGATTGTGCCTGCTTGTCTTGTTCACACAAACACTTCAGATGCTTTGTGCTTTGTGAAAGA